TTGCACCCACAAGATATGCACACACAGGCCGATCTGTCATGTCATCATACCCTGGTCTAGGCAGAGCAGAGGCAGTGTGAGCAGACACAACAAAAGCTTGACTGCAAATGAGCTTTATCCTACATGTCCTCCATCTTGAAGCAATGAGCCTCTTCCCACTTCTGGAATCTGTATTTTAAAGCCACTTCACTGCCATATTTAACTTGTCTGGCTGTAGACCATGGCTATTTTCCCTTACAAGAAAAAAATCTTCAAGATGTTACAAGCAATTTCTCCTTCTTTGGAAAGCACCTGTCAGGCATTGTTACAGCACCATTGTGGGATTTTGGCATGTCCTTATCAGGACACACAAACCCAGAATATGGAAGGAATGACATACATCTGAGCTCAGATGCACTCAGCATGTGGGACAGAAAAATGTAGTATAATCATGTCTATTATTACTGCTGTGTCGGCCTGTGATGAAACAGAACAGGATGTGCTCTATGGAGTCAAGAAAGAACAAGAACTGAATGTCCTAACAACACCCAGACCAGACATTTATGTAAGAGACTTGTCAAGCAGGAGGTGTGATGATGGAGGCAAATCACTCACTGTGTTGTCAGAGTGAAATACATTTGTATAGACTGTGAACCGCTACAGTGCTAAAGATCTTCATATAAACTCAATGAGTACCTATATGCTCAGTACTCACTGATCACTGGGAAGAAACAGCTATAATGTGAATGGCTTCAGTCCCTGTTTATGTTGCTTTTAACTTGGATGCACACCCCACAGAGTGCAAGTATGAGCGAAGTGGGAAGCCAGTGAGGGATCATGATCTTCCACAGGGAAGTTAAAGTGCATCCAGAGGGCCTCCTGGTGAGGCTGCCCTGACTTCATGTGTATAGGAAACAACCTACCTACCTACACTCTCCCTAGACCTGGATTATAGTGCTGGGCAGGTATAGTGAAGGAGAGCAGATATATGAGCCTGTCATTTCAGGTAGCTTTCAACGGCAGGTGCTTGCTGTTTGAGCACTTTGACACAGACACATGCAAGAGATTTAGGTCAAATCTGTGTGGGTCCAGCTTGAGGAAAACACCATTTCACTGTGATTTACACTGCTCAGTGTGCACACACATTTCCTAGTGTTTTTCTGCTGGTTTAATAATCCCTGTAATATTACCAGTTCCAGCCTGTTTTGAAATGCAATAGTCAAAATTATTAGGGGGGTTAATGTTGATTCTAAAAGGCACGTCTCAACTTCACAACTTCTGATATCTTCAGTCAAAATGATATACGTTTCCAGCACACAGCATCCATGACAGCTGTAATTTTGGGCTGCTGGACAGATTTTCTTCTGGTTTAGTACTGCAGTAAAGGAGATGCAATGAACTAGTTTTCACTCATGAATTTACAGTATTGTTGTCTACCAGCCTTCAGAAACTCATGCTGGTTATAAACTGGGCTAAAAACACATTAAAGGGCTGATGAACTCTGAAAAGCCTCATTATAAACACATTTGAAAGCACTTGCTAGGTTTGCAGCTAAGGCTGCAAACAACCTCTCTGTAGTTACCGTAGTTACACTGGTACTCTTTCCATTTATGAACAGAGCGAGTATAATGGTTTGCCATTAGGGTAGCTGCTCATCTCCTCCACAGCAAAGCTAACTTCATGACTAACTAATTTAGCAAAAGATAATCTGCAAGTGTTTTATAGTGTCTGTAGCACTATACTGACAAGGAATAAAATGAAAGGCCTGTTGTTCATTTACTTGCTAGTCTTACTGGCTTTTTCACAAATAAATAGTGCATCAAACCCACCACCACTCAACTACCTCAAGAGCTTAGCAACTTTCCACTACTTTAATTTCTATTTTTTGTTTTAGTTTTTTTGTTTTTTACAATAAAAAAACCAATTTCTTGTTATTTGTCAGCCCTTATAAACATTGAAACTGATTTATCAGCAATTGGTTTAAATTGATTGATCAAATGAGCTGGTTGACTTTTGTTAAATATGTCAAAATTAGTACAAGAGGAACTGTTGTAGGTTCACATCTGGCCTGGGACCATTGCTGCACAAAACAACCCTACACTCTTTTCTCACATTCTTATCATCTTCTCCTGCATACATTGTCAAAAAAGTGCCAATGTAGCTGCTTTACAGTATCTCAGCTGCCCCCAGACACCACCACTGCAGAAATATTAGGTCTGATAATGTTCTTGTCAGCCAACAATATTTGATGGTGATGAATAAATGAACTTACTCGTAGAGAAGAGTCAGTGTGTCACATCACTGAGCCTCCCTCTGATTCACGTCAGAAATGATACAGAGCCAACAGCTGTGGATCCAACATCCACCAGAAGAGGGCATCCTTCACATGCCTCACTGTTACTCAGCAGGTGTTGCATGGCTGGTTGGCCTCACATTAAAATGGGTGGACTGGTAGTGAAGCTGTTGCCTTATGTCTTGTTCAAGGCTCTGACACGTATGTAATGGAAAATACAGGTGACATTCAGTGCCCTACAAGATCCTTAATCATAGTACTGGGCTATTCATACAAACAGGTTTTCCCACCTTGGAAATAACAGTTTTCCATGGAGACTAATAAGGAGATTAAACCCAACAAAACCTCTACAAACACTTAGTCATCTGACAACTGCTGGCAGCGAGAGGTGGAGGAGGAACAGAAATGAGAGAATTATCACTCAGAAAATGAATTGAATTGCTCATATAATACAGATTAACTGTGACACTGCTGACATTAATCTGACCTGGCATATTTAGTGAGTAATAAATATGAGCAGTGTGCAGGATTTGTTTTGTTTTTGTCTCCTGTATTGGTTACTTGAACCTATGCACCTGCACAAAGAATGAATAGAGTATGGGAACTTTGAAGTATCATTATAAATCCACCAAAATGCAGCATTGAAGACAAATTTCACATTTGTCATGGCCTCATGATCCTTAACTTTAAACTTCGATTCTTTAAAGAAACAGCAATGCCACACTGTCACTAATTCATAGCTGATCTCGTCTTCAACAGTTTTATGAATCAGCCTTTCAACAGCACATGTAAAGGGACTATGGGCTTCTGGTATAAAAAGACATGTTCAATATCATTTATATGTTTTAATGACATTGAAACGAATTAAATGTAATAATAATATTTCGCTTTAACCCCAAACAAACATCGGTTGGAGCATTTATACTGAAATTGACTGTAATGCGGCTCCAGGTGAAAGTGCGTGGTCAAAAATAGCCTTCTATTCAGGTAACTAGAAGACAGGAGTAGGTGGGTGTTCATGCTTGATAAAACAGTCTAATATAATAGCAATAGCAGAAGTGGCGTGTCCTACCTGGGGCTGTCGGGACCCCCCTCCAGCGCCACAGCCAGCAGGGAAACCAGGCTGATGCAATACACCGCTAGCGGCAGGAGGCTCCGCATCTCCGGTCAACCTTGACTTCACACCCTCTCCGGAAAGGAGGGGGTGACCAAACGGACTGGGCGAAGTTTAAGATGTGGGAAAAATAAATAA